TAGTGCTAGCATTAAATAATTGATGTTTTGTTAAAATTTATCCGTGGTACTTTGTTTAAGTTGATTGAGTAAAATTGCGGTCCTAGTTTGAACTGTATCGACAATTTACAATTACTAAAGTAGCAGACCTGTGTGCACTGAAGAGACTTTTACTCAAATTGTTTTTTGACAGTTTGTATCACATATTCAATTATTTTTTGTTCTGAAACAACCAGAAAAACAGGCAGAAACAATCCTATCCCTCTTTTTATAATGCTCAAGACTTCTATAAATAGAAAGTCAGCCATTTTCTCAGTTTTATGATCTTGTAGATGATAGTTCATTACACAGATAGTGAATGATAATATCACAATGATTGAGAAGCTTGCAGGTCTTAAAATCAGCTTGAGGATATTATTTAACATTAGTTTTGATCTTGAGGTATTTCCTTGTTTTAGACCTGACATTCCAGACAAGTTAGTTGATGGCAATGTTATCTCCAATTGATTTGCCTGGCCTGGGTGAGAAGGGTTATTTCTTTCTTCAATTGAAATGTAGTGTGACGGGTTGACGTTAGTGGATGGCTCAATATTCTCTTGTTCTGGCACTGATCCTGGTAAGCAGTTTTGAGATATATCTAGTTGTTGTCTAAACAAATATCTTATGTGAAACAGTTCTCCTAAGTCTTCTTCTGCATTTACAGGGGCATGATCATCCTCTTCGACTCCTAGAGGAGCAGTATTATCCTTTTCTACACATTTAGAAGCAATGTTTTCCTCTTGCGAACAAACAGAATCAGTATTATCCTCTTCAACTCTTACATGAGCAGTATTATTTTCTACCAACTGTACAGGAGCAGATTCGTCCACTTCAACTCTTGCATGATCAGTATTATTCTCTTCCAAGCTTACGGGAGCAGAATTACCCTCTTCCACTCTTACAGGAGGAGTATTATCCTCTTCTATTCTTACATGAGCAGTATTATTCTCTTCAATTCTTACATGAGCAGTATTATTCTCTTCAACTCTTACATGAGCAGTATTATTTTCTACGAACTGTACAGGAGCAGATTCGTCCACTTCAACTCTTGCATGATTAGTATTATTCTCTTCCATGCTTACGGGAGCAGAATTACCCTCTTCCACTCTTACAGGAGCAGTATTATCCTCTTCTTTTCTTACATGAGCAGTATTATTCTCTTCAACTCTTACATGAGCAGTATTATCCTCTTCTTTTCTTACAGGAGAAGTATTATTCTCTTCAACTCTTACATGAGAACGAGCAGTATTATTCACTTCCAAACTTATAGGAACAGAATTATCCTTGTCCACTCTTACATGAGCAGTATTATGCTCTTCTAAATCTACAGGAGCAGAATTATCCTCTTCAACACCTGCAGGAAATTCATTTTCCAAGGCCTGGTTAACACTTTCTGCTTGTGTAACCATAGCAGCTTGTACATTCAAATTTGAGATTGGAAAGATGTTAGGAGCAAGGCCTATTGCTCTGGTTTTCTTTTTTTCTCTGTAAATTGCAATCCCAATTCGTAAGATCTCAACCAAAAAGGATAAAATGAGAAGACTTGGAAGTACAAAAAAATTACACGGAGAACACTCCTCATTATTATGGACAATTACACTATATTTTTTAATAGCGTATCCTCTAAATTTACATAAGTCTTGCGGGTCTTTGCACACAATGTTGCTCAACGCTAAATCACCAAATCCAAGAAATATAACCATGAATTGCATTACCCTTCCAGCTTGCTGATGGTCAAGGGTCTGGAAGGTCCCTGAAAGACAATCCTAATTTAAAAACTCTTTTCTTTAGACAAAGGAATATTTTTACCTGGGTAAGCGAAAAGAAGGAGGCGGGAAGAGACTAAGAACAGAACAATCCACAGTAGAATTAATGTGACTGGTCTATACCCAGCAAATGTGGAAATCACCCATGGATAATCAGAAAGTAAAGAGACAGCCATATCTGGAAAGAAGTTGAAAAAAATTGATAGAAAATAACTTCTGCAACACTCATATTCAGCAATGTAGGACAGCATACCCAGGCAGTAGGAAATAATGTTATGTTTGCTTGTGGGTAGACTGTTGAAGTAACCTCTAAAGAAATGTGAGGCTAGAACACCAGTGATGGATGCTATAGTGTCTATAAAGAAGGAGTAGCCACTTGGATAGCCAGGTACTGTTAGCACAAGTACTCCATAAAGAAGTAGAAACCAACTCCTGTTCATTATGTCTAAAGTAATTCCCTCTTTTAAAATTCGGTGATGTAGATTGAATAAAGTTTTATTGAAAATTTATTTCAGTCTGGCTTGATCCTCGTCAGTTCTTGAGATTGTGTCTGTAATGAGATTGTATTCTTTTTTTGTTTAGTATAATCTGAATCTAAATTTTGTGGGAAAAGTTAAGTCCTAAACTTTAACTGAATGTTAGTTAATAATTACAAGGTCTTCATTATCGGCAGTTGAATTAGAGAATGCCCTTTTGTTGGATAAATTTGACTTCAGGATATTTTTTGTGTCTCAATACAAATTGTGATTGGATTAATTTTGCCAGCCAATAATTAGAGTTTGAAATGTGTTTTTAGGGACCAAAACAATATTTTTTGTACCTTAAAGTTTTTACTTGATGTCTCCGAACTCACTGCTTCTGAAAAACTAAGTGCTACGAAAATATTTCAAGAGCTTGTGATAAATTCTACATCTCTTATTCTTAGATTTTCTATGTAAAGAGCTTTCTTAGTAAACTTATTTTGGATAATCTTCTCTTATTTGATACTTTTCATCATATTTAACATTTGTTTAAAATATTGCTAAATTTCTTGGAAGAGGAATTAGGGTTGTTCATAGTTCAATGCAAAGTAGTAGCATGGTAGTGTTGTTCAAAGTTTTAGTTGTGGATGTTAGGGTTTCCATCAAAATTTTCGATGAACAAAATTCGCGAAAATAAACAAACCAAATTCGTTCATTTTCGTTCAAAATTATCGCGAATTTCAAAGTATTTTCGGCGAAATAATTTTTGCAAAGATTTTTCATTTTCGCGAAATTTTTGTTCAATTTTCGTTAATTAAAAATCAAAATTTTTAATTAACTAATAAAGAAGATTGTATTTTTGTGAAAAAAAGGATTTTAAACAAAAGGTCGATAATTTTAACGAATTTTGCGAAAATTTCGAACGAATGTTTCGTTCACATTTTTGTTGGCTGAACGAAATTTTCGCGAAAGAGATTGAAGGAAAATGTGAAACCCTAGTGGACGTCGACATGAAAAAGTAGGTTTTTTTTCAAGGAATTCCGTAAAGTTAACAAATGCAATAAAACGCGCTCTGGAAAACTATTTAATCCCGATCTTAAATTCATAAACGTGAAAAGAATTGGTTAAAAATTCACAAAACGTTCACTCGTAGTTTTATCATTCTTTAGATAGGAGGGTCAGCTAGAACTAATTTAGCATGAAGAGAGCCAAGAAAGCCAAAGAGCTATTAAAGTTTACAGTGAACAAAACGTTTCGCGAAAAAATGCAAATTTTTTATACGCGAAATTTTGCATTATTTCGCGAAAATGATTGCATCGAAAAAATGCATAAACGATGCGAAATTTTGCAAAAAAAAATAGCGAAAACCATAAGTGCGAAAAATTAATTGCGAAAAAAACTTGTGGAATTCTCTGCTCTGAGAGATAATTATTTAAAATTTTATTATGTCATTTTCATAAACAAAATGCGAAATTTTCGCGAAACGATTTTTTGTTTCCGCAGAAAACCCTACGAGCTGCCTCATTATTTTGAAATTCGTGAATACCTCTTTTCTTTTCAGAGTTATTACTCTTCTCAGTCAACCCTGCCTACAGACTCTTCTAGAATGAGTAATTCGCATCCGAGCAGAAATATGCATTCAATTATTTTGAACACTTTTTAAAGAAAAAGAACTAGTACCTAGAAACTTTCAGACTTAATGGGACACCCTGTATTCACATGAATCTCTCCAAGGATTTAATAAAAGGAAAGTTATTTCAGAAGTGTACGCATCTTTTGTACTGCAGTGTACTGTGTCTGGGCGGTAATGAAAACACAAGACTGATGTCGAAACCTGACATGGGATCCATCTTTCACATAAATAATCAATGAAATATTCTGGTCATATGAAACTATTATGTGAATTATGAAAATTATCAAAATTCAATGCTTTTAACCTCCTCGGATACTAAACAAACACTAATTCATCTATTCTTGTTTTCAAATTCCGCCCAGAGTAAACTGGTTTCAATATGTACGCAGAGTATACGCAACTGCAATTAACTTTCCTTGCATTACATTCTTGAATCTCTCCAACTCCAATTTTATTGTTAATTTAATGTGGAAAGTTATTGACCTTGTAGTCTTGCTCATAAGCTGTATACTCAAACACCTAAATCTTCAAACCAACAGTAAGAAAACTGTGGTTAAAAAAAGATTTCAAGGCTTTTGCATTAAGTAAGTTTGTACTATGCAATATTTCAAATATTTTATTCTTGCAATATTTCAAACTACTCTCCTTTCATTCTTTGTAGGGTTTTTAATCGTTTTTAGAAACAATCGGTTTAGTTTTTTCTAAAAACAATAATACCGTTTGAAACAAAATCATGGGTCACAAAAGAACGAACCACTCGTTTTGAGCGTGTAAAAACTAAAAAAAAACGACATGGCTGTTTTTTTAAAACTATCGTTTATGACAATTCTTTTATTTTTTTTTTATCATTAAGATAAGTTTATGAATGTTGTCTTAAATGGTTTTTTAAGATCAAAAATGTATTTGTCTACAAAAGGTCCTTAACGATTCTTAACATAGGGTCGTTAACGAAGAGTTGTCGTAAACGATCGTCAAAAATTAAAAGCGACCTTCCATCGTTTTTTATTCTAAAAACGAAACAATTGTTTTTCGTTAAAGTGAAAACGATCCATCCCTACACTCTTTTTAAGTTTATTTTGTTTAAATATTCTTTCAAGATTTCGTGAAAACAATGAGAAAAAAAACTGTTTATATATTTATTTTAATATTATTTTTTACATACGGCTAATATCGTTCTGATCAAACATGTTTACAAAAAATAAACAAATTAAATCTTATTTCCAGGTACAATTACAGGAGGACCTATTAAAATGTGAAACAGGAAGACGAAATTTAAGAAATATTATGTTGTTAAAAAAGCAAGCCGTTTTACTTTTTTAAAAGAAAAATTGTTATGTGTACATTGAACAGTGTACAATTGATGTATTTTTTTTTTTTAATTATACTATATTTAGATTCAATGTGAGTCTCACAGTCGTCTTCCTATTCCATAATTTTATGCGTTCCACTGTATTAAACTCCGGAGTTACAACAAAAATAACAAAATTAATTACTTCGTAATGCATGTTACATGGGACTTTATTTTTTGTACAGAAAGGTGTAAAAAAATCAAAAAAAATCTTTTAAGACAAGCAAATAAAGGGGATTTTACGTGGCCGGGGGGCGGTACAATAAAAGAGGCGTGGCATATTCAGTTAAATTAAAAATTAAAGCTAGTAATTGGGATGTAATAGCGATAACTATACAATAGTTCTGCCTCCCTAGAACATTCCAGATAAATATTTACAAATATATATGTATTGATTCATTCTCAGGCGCGTATTGAATTTGTTTAAAGAATTCAATTAAAAATTACAAATATGTTCTTACATCACTTAATAATATTTTCTACCTCGACTCACATTTAATGGTTTTATTTGTGGGTTTAGAGTTGTTTTTGCAGGCCGATTGATTTTTCACCTTTTATCACGTTTGTAATCTACCATATTGGCAAAAATTGACTAGCCATTAGTCTACATAATGTTTTTTGTTTGACTAGAACAGAAAAGATTTTTTCCGTAGAAAATTTGACCAGCAAGAGCATATTTTTCTACAAATAAATATTTAAACCAATATTTAGAATAAAAATTAAAAATCAAATTTTCAAAATGGCGGGTCATCAGCTGATTAACCAAGAAAACCCGCGAATGGATTTGCAGTTGGGGACACTCGCTGCGTTCGCGTCACATATGAGGTAACCTTTACAAAAAAGTTTAAAATAATTTAAAATAATTAGAAAATATTTTTTTTCTTTTTATAAGTTTCTACCTGAGTTGATACAACGGAAGTGCTGGTAATCGTTGTCAGGGTCGGAATATTCCTTCAAATTAGATATTATTAACACCTTGTCATACCTTCTTTAAATTTAATTTGTTTAAATAATACAGGGGAATTCTTCGTTCTAAATGTTAAATTTTCTTAGCATGTATCTTTAAAAATTTAAAAAGCATTAAATGTAAAATATTAAAAAAATCTTTATTTATAAAATAGTAATCTCTGTTTGTCTGTTCATTTGTATGTCCGACCATAACTCATTATCTTTTGATTGGGAACTTGGTAAAACCAGGGCATGTTTATAGTTTGGTTTAAACTTCTCAGTTGATTTTATGGCAAAAATTTAATTTCCAGACAAAGCTGGGTTTAAAGCTAGAATTAGTATAGAACTTCTGAAGCTGTCTATTACTATAAATTTACTGAAATTAAAGCATAAAAACAGAAAAGTTAACATATTTGCAGCTGCTATTATTTAATTATTTATAGGATACTTTTAAAATTTAAATTCAAAATTGATATTTTAAAAAAATATAAAAAACGAGAATTTTTCTAATTTAAAAAATAATTGTAATTTGTTCACCTGAACGTAATCTTGAGTTCCTGAGTAAAGGTTTGTGTCTCCACTGTGTTACGTATCACAGGGCTGGAGACAACTGTAAATGAGGGTTGGAGAAATCCTCCATTATTAGGAGAGTCTCCATTATTGAGGTTCAGACCTCCCTGCAGACCGTTGAGTCCTGATAGACCTCCCAGGTTCCCAAGACCACTAATTCCTCCAAATCCTAATCCTTAAAAAATATCAGCTAATAATTCTTTGACCTAGTTATTTAAATATTTGTCAAATTTTTGAAAATAAGAAAAACTAAAATAAATTTTCAAATTAATAAAATTTTGTTATTTAAAAAGGTGGAAATACCAGAGAGAACAAGAAATAATAGGAAAACGACATTTTAACAATATTGAAGCGTATTTGATCGTGTTACAAAACAAATAGTATAGCTAAAAACCTTATTAAGTAAAAGGGAAGATGAATGTAGTGGAGGGGAATCGAAAGGAAAGGTGAATGTTATGGAGGGGAATTGAAAGGGAAGATGAATGTAGTGGAGGGGAATTGAAAGAGAAGGGGAATTTAGTGGAGGGGAATTGAAAGAGAAGGGGAATGTAGTTGAGGGAATAGAAATTGGAAGGGGAATGTAGTGAAGGGGAATGGAAAACAGGGAATGGATTAAAGTAGGAAAATGTCGAAGAGAGATTATTTTTAGCTCCTCTTCGCTTGGCAAATTGAAAAAACTGAAAGGAATCAGCTGTTCCTGGCCAGGAAGTTGAGAATGTGAGCAGGAAGTGCGTCATTTAGAGAAGGAACATAGCAACAGACATTAGACGAGCTGTATTGTAAAGAGAATTGATATATTATACCTGGAGCAACTGTGCTGGTGGAATAATCATAGTCTGTAATAGTTGTCAATCCAACCACGTTAGTTACAAGGGTTGTAAACTCCTTAGCTCCCTAGATATAACATTATCAAAACTATTTTTTTCTTTCGCTTAAAAAAGTTTACCTGGAATAGTTTGATAGTGTTCGTTTCATAAACAGTTTCAGTTCTTAGTACAGGTGTACTTTCAGTAACAACCTAAACAGTGCACAATACAGTTTAGTTCTTAGTACAGGTGTACTTTCAGTAACAACCTAAATAGTACACAGTACTGTTTCAGTTCTTAGTACAGGTGTACTTTCAGTAAAAACCTAAACAGTACACAGTACAGTTTCAGTTCTTAGTACAAGTCTACTTTTAATATTAAGCTGAGTACATAGGACAGATACATATATATAAATTACAATGTACAATAGATGAGAGTTCAATGACTACATAAGACGCACTTAATGCAACGATTTGATTTTGTTTGAAAACAAAATAATTTGACGAAGAAAGAAGCAACTTTTTCTGTTGCAATAAATAAAAAATATCCTTTGTAAATTCTTTACAATTAAATTAACATTTATTAAATTAACATAAATTAAAAAAAGTTTAAAGGGATTGTTCTTTGAAGTTCGAGTGATCTTTCATTTAAAGAGGTGCATATCTGATTCACAACTGTACCATTAAAACCTTTAACTGCAAGATGTATAATTCTAGCAAATTGTTTAATTTTGGTAATTCATGCATTGTTTTTCTACAGCAGAATGCACCCAGTCACTTTTGTAGAGACCCCATTTGAAAACATTCAAATTTCAAAATTATATAAATGGATATCCAATTCATACTTTATCAGACATAGCTTTTAAGAGTATTTTTCTGAATCGGACACTCCCCTTTACACATGAAATTACGTCTCTAAAACAAAGCTAGAAGACGAAAGGACAAAGCAAGATTGTATCCATAGATTAATAACAACACAGATAGAACACTAGATGTCGTCTTTTCAAAATTTAGCGGTTTTTTGTTCACAATAACCCTGAGTCAGAAGCCCAAAGGAGTTACGCGTATGTCACGATAAATTACAAGACAGAGAGATCATGCTGCGCGTAACTCCTTTAGGCTTCTTATGTTTCATCTGTATTGTTATTAATCTATTATTGTATCAAGCAATAAAACTCATTTGTCAAATTTATTTTCGAAATTATTTTTATTGATTAAATTAAAATTCTAGTATTCTCGGTGAATCTTGGTTTGGAAACAAAGATATCATATTCTTCTCTAAAACCACAAAATCCTAAAATAATCCCACCAACAAATCCTTGCACCGTGATCATTTTATACATCGTCAAATATTAACTGAAATCTACTTAAACCCGGTTTTTTCTTCTTCTGAAACATTTGCATGTTATAGTTAAACGTTTTTGGGTTCAAAATTAGAAAGTTGGACTCTTAAAAGAAGCTAAAATTGAAGAGAACAGTAGGGATAAACTTTTGCCCTTAAAAAACTTAAAATCAAAGAGAGCCAAAGTAATATCTCCCAAATCTTTATATCTCAAACATTCTGTCCGCATTTTCGAACAAAATTTTCTTAATTTTAAAAATTTGTTTTATTTGAGAAAACGTTACAGCAGTGTATTCTGTAGAAGAAGTTCTAATAGCGTAATCTGATACACCATTACTAGTAGAAGTTCTAACAATGTATTCTGACACACCATGTAAGAGTAGAAGTTCTAACAGTGTATTTTCATATTTCATATTTTTATTCAACTACAAAGCACGAGATAATACAAATAAAAAAATCACGATTTACTATATAGTTTGGACCCGCCTAACCAGAGAAGGTTGTTTTAATTGGTTGGCCCACTATAAACGAATGAGAATTGCAGATAAAAACAATGTACATTGTACATTTTAAACATAAGAATGATAATAAATCAGGTAAAAGGTAAGGAGGAGGTGAGGGAGTATAAAGAAAAGGGAGGNAAGTTCTAACAGTGTATTCTGGTACCATATGAAGAGTTGAAGTTCTAACAGTGTATTTTAATACACCATGTAAGAGTAGAAGTTCTAAAGAGTTTTCTGATACACCATGTATTCTTGTACTATATGTAGAGTAGAAGTTCGAAACAGTGTTTTCTGATGCACCACGTATTAGTAGAAGTTTAAAGAGTGTATTCTGATACACCATGTTAAAGCAGACGTTATCTCAGAGTATTCGGATACATCATGTAGATTATAAGTTCTAAGAGTGTATACTGGTACACCACAATATACAACATGTACATTGTACACCCTATACGAGTAGAAGTATGCATATAAACCCTGAACAAATTACAAGACAACCCAACGATGATATATTTCCAAAAGAAAATGAATGATAGTTAGTTGCTGGTCAAGCAGAGATACAATTGAAACATGGACTTAGAAACACAGAGATCGTTTTCTACCAAACATATTTAAAGTTAATGGACTGCTCGCTTCTGCAAACAGATATGTAGTTAATGAACTTAGAAACGCAGAGACTGTTTGGTACCAAACATATATGAAGTAAATGGACTTATGAACATAGAGACTGCTTGCTACCAAACACATGTTATTTAATGGACTTGGAAACACAGAGACTGCTTGCTACCAAACAGAGCTGATGAATGGACTGCTTGCTACTTCACTGCAGATATAATGTTGATAATTTAAATAGAATGAATCATTTAAAGAAAGGTAGATGAAGATTCAAATCAAGATTGATCAAACCAAACATTACCCGTTATATTTCCGACTTTATAAACCACAGGATAATAGTAAATACAGTGATAACCAGAAAACTCTGGAATAGTAAGACGACTTTAAGAATCAAGTTTTATCTTTAAAAAGTTCAATGACCTTGAAACACAGTAATTGTGCAGTGTAAACAGACCCATTTCACAATATAAGTGATTTAAAAGTATTTATTTTCTATTTGCTTTGTAACACCATAAAATACACTTAAGTATTGCTATAATGTCGTCTTCCTATTCCATTGTTTTTTGATTATCACTGTACGACAAGTTCAACTCTAACACGAACACAATGCGGCAATGGCTTAAACTGGGTTTGGGGGGGGGAGGGCTACTGGGACTGAGAGGATCTTCTTGACGAAATAGTAAAAAGTAAACACTTAAACATTAAACATAACTATAAATATCACACTGTTGCACTAATTGACATTTAAGTTTTAGAAAAATGCCACAACTAGATTTGCTGATGAAAATCGCGAGAAACACTACCTGAGGCTGAATTGCTGCTGCTCCACCACCTAGGAGAGCAGCAAGGGGGTTTTGAAGCAGCTGAAGATAAAGAAGCTGCTCTGGTGATATGTTAAAACCAGGGTTGGATGGGAGTTGCTGAAGAGCAGGTGTTGCAATTGTTCTACTGGGAGCAATCTGAAATAATTACAGGTTGAATGCAACTGCATCTAGCTGTGAAATGTCAAACTAAAAACTATACCTGGTTGGCTGGGTTTTTCAGTTGGAAAATCTCTGGGTTGTGCTGTTTCTCCATATGATCCACAAAGTCCAATTTGTCCCCGATAAGGTCAAGGTCATCCAAGAAACCAGGGGGCGGGGTCACACGAATATGGGCCGGTCCCTCGAGCCCAAAATTATCCTATAATATAAATGTATGAAGTGTTTATTGGAAGTAGAAAAATCTGCCTCTGACATTAATTTGGTCACCAGACTTTAAATCTGTAAATATTTTACTTTTAGTTCCTAAGGGCAATACGATGCTGCCTTCAAAACTGATCATTGAATTTCAGCTCCCCAGGGAGTAAATGCTCCCTAATTCCTACCTGATCACTGAATTCCAGCTTCCCAGGGAGTAAATGCTGCCTGACTTCTACCTGTTCATTGAATTCCAGCTCCATAGGAAGTAATTAGTTTCTAATTCCTATCTGATAACTTAGTTCCAACTCTATAGGGAGTAAATGGTGCCTAATTCCTACCTGATCACTGAATTCCAACTCCCCAGGAAGTAAATGCTCCCTATTCTCTGAACCTGCTTCTTGGAATAAAGCATCAATATCTGCGAAAGATTTTGATGGACTAAACTCATAGAGTTCCAAGGGTGGAATAGTTTTTACAGCGGTTACATGCCTAAACAAATTAGTTAGAAATATGTTCAAAAGATGTCTCTGAATTGTGATGATATTAAATGTTTAAATGGTAAAAAAGCATACTTTGTTACTTCATAAGTTTGAGACAAGGTATACAGAGAAGTTTCAGAGCCTAAAAAATAAATTGTCAATGATTAAAAAAGATGCATAAAGGGTGTGTAAGCGTATGTTTAAGTGATCCTCCATGCAAAGATGCCAATATCCGATTCACTATGATACCCTTGAAACCTTGAATGTGGAAGATACTGTCGTTTTTATAGCTTTGAACAGTGTGTAATTCCTATATATTTTCCTTAAGTAGAAATGCGCAAGTTGTAGAGAACCCACAATGGAAAATAATTTGTTTTCAAAATTATAAAATTATACTAGATCAGAAAAAGCTTTTTAAGGTACCGTTGTGAATCAAGCATTGCTATCTTTACATAAATCATCACCTTATAAATTACGCTTACAGTCCCTATAAAATTATTTTAAATTTCCTGATTTCACTTACCGATAATAATAGGAAGGATGCTTTTCTTGATCATCAGTTCATCAGTGCTGAATGTCTCAGTCACAGTCTATACATGGAAGGAATATGTGAGCCGTATTCCTACACACCTTTGTCTTGCCCAGTATACCCCCCCATCCCCTTCCGTTATTATGAAATTTATCCAAAATATTTTGAATAATTTTGGTAAGCCTCTATCGATAACTAACGATTTAGAATTGTTCGAACGATCTTGAAAAAACTTACGATTTTTACTAAACGAACGAATGTTTTACAAACGATTTTGAAGAAAACGATCGTTTTCTACTGAACAATTTTTTCAAACAAATTTTTGAAAAAACAATAGTTTTTTTTACTGAGCGAACAATTTTTATAAATGAACGATTAATTGAACGAACAATTTTACTGAACAAACGATTTTACCGAACTATCATTCAGCAAGAAAATGAAAAACTATGTTATTGAACTAAAGATTTTACTGAACAATCGTTCAGTGAGAAAACGAAAGAAATAGATGGAAAATTAACTAAAATTTTGAGAACGAACGAATAAATTTTTTTAAACGTATGAAAAAAACGATCGAAATGGGTCGTTCACGAACGTTGAACAAACGAAATGAAAAAAGTCGAACGTATCCATCTCTATCTCTGGACTCTTCTTCAAAAATCTGCAAATCTGGCGAAAAATCCCTTGATATTTTAAATGTGCAAATATATTTGCTTTTTAAATAAATTTGGTGAAATCTTTCTTATATTCAAAGAGTTAAACAAAACTATTCCAAGATATTGCCCAAGAAACCCCAAAGGAATATGGAAAATTATGTCTCAAAATGCAATGAAAATGTGGGTCTGTCCTAGTGCACGATTTTTGGACCCCCCTCAACCCAGCCACCCCCACCCCCCCCTACTATCAATTTTGTACATGGCCATTTATTTTTCAGCAAATTTATTATTATTTATTTTTTTTGTTATTTAGGGTTAGGTTAGGTTAAGACACTTTCTGGGCCGAGCGCTGCGGCTAGGACAGGCTCTAGAATATACCGACAATGTTTGATGCAGATGCGGTTTTATCTAGAGATTATCTTTAAAGTAAATATTTTCACAAAAAATTTTAATTCATTTATTGACGGCGTTAACGAAAGATATTTAATTCATCGGTAATAGTGCCAGCCGTTAATGATTATTTCATGAAAAAATACGTTAACAACATTAAACAATATCAAAACATGTAAAAAACATACCAAAAGACTTACAATTTTATTTTCATTTTCTTTATGTTTTATGCAATTTTAAGTAAAAAAATTTACTAAAGTTACCGTTCCTTCTTTTTATAAACCGTTAATTTCATTTTCAAAAGCACTCATTTCCGTTTGTTAATAATTTCAAAATTAACGGTTTTGCCGTTCGTTAACAGACTCTTTCGTTAAGTTTTAAAAACTTGCCGTTCGTTGAAAATACATGATGTGGAAAGTTTAAACCTTTCTTGAAAAGTTTACCCCTTTTCAGAAAATTTTAAAACATTTATTGAAAAGTTTACCTTAAAAGAAGGTTGTGTTCCATAAAGGGAGGAAGGAAGAGTAATGGGAGGCAGGGTTTCCGTTACATGGGATCCTAGGTTTAAACAATCTAGGGTCAGATAACACAGAATTCTGATTAATATCAAGATGTTAAACAGCGTGCATACACTAAACCATGGAAACAAAGAGAAGCTGTCAATTAAAAACCTTTTCTTTAATTACATGTAAACTTGTAATTCGAAAAAAAGCTTGTTAACAATTAAAACTTAAATAAAAAAAATCGTCTTCAATATATTGATTTAAACGCCTACCACCATATCATTTTCATTGTTACTTCTAAAAGTTTAATTTGATTCTCTCAAAGTATTAGAAGATTCTTTCAAATTTTCTGAGACGCTATCAAAGTCTTATGAGATGCTATCAATGTTAAATAAGATGCTATCTAAGTTTTATGAGATGATATCAAAATGTATGAGATTCTATCAAAGTTGAAAGAGATGCTATCAAAGTTGTATGAATTGCTATCAAAGTAGTATGAAATGCTATCTAAGTAGTATGAAATGCTATCAAAGTTTTATGAGATGCTATAAAAATAGTATGAAATGCATTCAAAGTTGTATGAAATGCTATCAAAGTAGTATGAAATGCTATCAAAGTTTTATGAGATGCTATAAAAATAGTATGAAATGCTATCAAAGTAGTATGATATGCTATCAAAGTAGCATGAAATGTTCCATGAGATTCTATAAATGTTTAATGAGATTTTATTAAAACTTCTATGATAGTTAATCTTTTCCCTTGTGAGTTAAAAAGAGATGTTGCAAATAATATTAAACAAATTTTTTAATTATTTATGAAATATTTAGGCATTTCAGGTTTTAGCACTTAGACCACAATACTGGAACTAAAAGTTGGTTCATGTTTGGTTTGTATTTTGCCTATATTTTCTTTCAAGCTCAAAAATTGGTATAGTGTAAGTCTTCAAAATATTTTTTTTATTTATTTTTTTTATTCTTTTTGTAAACATTTGCTTTTTTTCCCAATGTCAAATTTTGAAAAAAAAACGATCCAAAAAAACCCAAAAATTATTTTTCTTCTAACAAATCGATCGTTTTAGGATCGTTAAACTTTTTTTGGAGAAAAGTATTGCAAAGTTTAAGAAAAGAAAACTTTAACAGAATGCAGTTTTGAAATCTCAAAAGTTTTATTAAAAGTTGAAAAAAGACCGAACCAAAACAATTGACAACACTAAGCACTATGTAGATAAAAGATAAATTGATTGTTTACCTTGAATAATCTCCTTGTAGTCTGATGTAGCCAGAATATTCTCTGGAGCCGGAATAGATTTCGTGTCAAACAGAGGTGTAGAGGAAGATCCAACTAAAATTAATCAGTTACGAACAGACAAAACATTTCAAAGAAATTGAGTCGATTTATAATATCTTTGCAACCCAATGTCGTAGAACTTAGATATTTCAAACAAATGATTATTTGCAACTTTCAGGTTTCAAATATAAAGGAATTGGAAAATTTGAGTTTGTGGCAAAGATTCAATTTCCTCAGCATTTTCAATCTGCACTATTTTTAAATCATAAAGTTTAAAATTGTGTACACTGTAGAACTCAGGTTCAATTACGACTAAGGGAAAAAATATTAGGAGCTGGAAGATTTTGAACATACTTTGCAATAACTCTTACTGCACTTGACGATCTGAAGAATTTTAATATTTTAATTTCCTACCTGATGAGCTACCAGTTGGTTACTACTAGGAGTAGGTTTACTATTCCTACCTGATTGGCAACAGGCAGGTTTACTACTCCTACCTGATTGGCTACGAGTTGGTTTACTATTCCTAGCTGATTGGCCAGGAATAGGTTTACTACTCCTACCTGATTGGCAACAGACAGGTTTACTACTCCTACCTGATTGGCTACGAGTTGGTTTACTATTCCTAGCTGATTGGCCAGGAATAGGTTTACTACTCCTACCTGATTGGCTACGGTTAGGTTTACTATTCCTACCTGATTGGCAACAGACAGGTTTACTACTCCTACCTGATTGGCTACAGTTGGTTTACTATTCCTAGCTGATTGGCCAGGAATAGGTTTACTACTCCTACCTGATTGGCTACGGTTAGGTTTACTATTCCTACCTGATTGGCTACAGGTAGGTTTACTACTTCTTCCTGATTTGCTACGTGTAGGTTAACTACTTCTACCTGATTGGCTGCGTGTAGGTTTACTACTCCTACCTGATTGGCTACGGGTAGGTTTAATACTCCTACCTGATTGGCTACGAGTTGGTTTACTACTCCTACCTGATTGGCTACGGGTAGGTTTACTACTCACTACGCCTACCTGATTGGCTACGGGTAGGTTTACTAAACCTTACCTGATTGGGTACGGGTTGGTTTGATTGATGTAAATGGTTGACTGGTTTCTACAGGTTTAGAGAAGGTTCTTGTAACGGTGATAAAGCGGGTACTCTTCTCCTGGTTCTCCAGCTGGAAGGTGTAAGGAGAACGGATAGTTGCAACCTCAACTACGCTATTCTCATCATCATCCTAACAAACCGTTTAGTAAAATTCAACAGTAAAGTTATCACATGACGAAAAAGAGAGTTAAGTGATGGTCCAATACAAGTTTGATTGAATACTTCTTTACATTTTTGGATAATCTTTTAAAGGGTCTGTATGCTTGATTTCATGTGACCCTCCGTGAAAAGATGGCAATGCCCGATTCACAACAATACCCCTGAACCAGTGTTTAACTCTAATAATTCTTTTACATTTTTCTGAAGTAGAGAATTCACTGAATATTTTTATTAAATTATAAACATGGATATCTAAATCATAATTGATCAGACAAAACTTCTTAAGGGTACCGTTGTGAATTGGGCATTGTCATCTTTAAGGTTAATCACTGGGAATCACGCTGACAGTCCTTTTAATTGATGGTTAAATACAGATAATTTTTCATAATATTTTTGACTTCTTTTATATACAATGCATTAAGTGCGTTTTAAGTGAATTGTATATAAAACAAATACAAAATATTATGAAATATCAACTATATGCGAATGCATCGAAAAATAATCGATGACTAAAGGTTTTAATATGTAAATAATTTGTTTGATAATAAATTAATTTTTTTACGAATTGCAATTTTCTTAATTGGGATGGACGATACTCTATTCGGTATGAGTCGCTTTTATCAATTTTCTCCTTTTAGACGCAACAGATAGAAGTAAGATTAGTAGCGATCAAAAGCCTATACCCCCTTTCATTTTTCGCGAGCACTCTCTTTAAGAATAATTTGTTCAAATTGAGAATGACAGATTAAAGCCAGCTTTAAATAATTGAATTGAAACTTTAACAAGGAATTAACGCCTTCAATATAATTGTAATAAAACAAGTTTCTTAGCAATGATTCTGCACTTTTAACAGATTTTACAACTGCATTTAACAATGTGTGAATTTGAAGACAAAAAAATGCAAATTCAGCTTTTTCACACAGAACTTAACGATAGGTTGTTCAAATTTAGCCATCCTATTCTCAACTTTGTTCTTAAAAACTTCATATATTTTATAACTAATAAGAAATGAAAAGGTTAATATTGTGGATTTAAAAATAATTTTAATTTTTAATCATCAATTTAACCATAAATGTCTAAAATTTCAAATATAAAACAAGACAAGACCAATGTTCACCATGATATCAAGTATTTAAGTTTAATTGTTCATAAATGGATCGTGGAATAATAACTTTTTTAAAATAATTTTCAAAAAGAATTTTCCAGTTCCTGAAGAGGAAAAACTGTTGAAACAAGTAGGGTTGTTTGCAATCGTTCTAAATACAGGATATATTTGTATTAAAGAATAACAATTAAAACTAAGAAAAAAAATAATAATACTTTTTTTTGATAAAGTACAAAATCAATTAAAAATCAAATTAAAGTGGAAAATAAAGACAAAATTCTTTAACCATAAACAGGCTGGGAGGGGCGTTTGGCGCCCCCCCCCCCTCTATTTGTATTGTCATTTTTAACACTGTCACCGTTAAATTTTTTGACTTTTAATAAATAGAAATTTAAAGGTCTTTTTGTAAATTTTTTATGCGTAGGGTAGTGTACAGGGCGGTAAAAAGTCCGGTCTGTTTAAAAAAAAACTAAAATAGCCCATAACTTTTTTATGACTAAAGTTTACTGATCTAAAACTTTATTTTTGAAAAGCCATTTAAAAATGGATGTAGAAACATGTGTCACACTTTTATATTTGTTTTAAACAAAAAAAGTATTTTTTAACACTTTTTTGACCTGTTTTTGGCATTTTTTCTTGTTTTATTATATAGAAGAATATATCTCTAGTCGATTTCCATTTTTCTTTAATTAACCCAACATGATGGTTAATGCTCGAAACAACAAGAAGAAAATGTAGATTTAGAAAAACAGAAATGTCAAAATACTTGCAGCTGCTACCATCTAATTATTTATGAAATTTTGTTAAAATTAAAATTTAAAAATAAATATTTTAAAAAATATATCCCTAGTCGAATTTCATCATTGTCAATATTTTGCAGTATATCCTCATCAGTGATAATACTGGGCACAAGAGCAGAGGGACTAGACTCATGATCACCATCAGATTCTACAGTTGTTTACAAATTATTTTATCTCAATTGAAAAAGTGTTTAACAAGACTTCAAATGATAAATATTATATTATTTTTCTATTTTTAACTTATGTAAATAAGGTGTTTTAAATGAAATCAGCTGTGTTTAAATGAAATCAGCTATGTTTAAATGAAATCAGCTGTGTTTAAATGAAATCAGCTATGTTTAAATGAAATCAGCTGTGTTTAAATGAAATCAGCTGTTAATAATTGCCACTTAAGACGGCTTAAAAAGGACCTTGCCTCTAAAATACCAATCAGCTATTTTAATATTGACAATCAGCTGTTTTTAAATTGACAATCAACTGTTTTTAAATTGACAATCAGCCGTTTTTAAATTGACAATCATCTGTTTTTAATTGACAATCAGCTATTTTTAAATTGACAATCCGCTGTTTCTAAATTGACAATCAGTTGTTTTTAAATTGACAATCATCAACTGTTTTTAAATTGACAATCAGCTGTTTCTAAATTGACAATCAGCTGTTTTTAAATTGACAATCAGTTGTTTCTAAATTGACAATCAGCTGTTTCTAAATTGACAATCAGCTGTTTCTAAATTGACAATCAACCGTTTGCCAAAGAGCACTATATTATGAATAAAAATGCGCTATAATTTCTTAAAAAGAGATGATTTTTTTTGTAATCTATTCCTGGTTCTATCGGAGTAGTTTCATCTTCTTCTTCTTCTTCTTCTTCTTCTTTATCTACAACTGGTTTTCTTTTGTTTAGAAACTTATTGAAGAGGTTCTTCCGAATATCAGGCCGGTCAAATCTAGAAAACATAAGGTCAATTTTTTACGAACAATTTATACGTGTAAATTTTCCGTAACCGGTTTATGAAATACTTAAGTTTCAGGGCCCATCTTCTTTTTCAATTGATGAATTTTATTTAATGAAAATACAATTTTAGAATTTTGTTGCAGGCTAAATTTTGAAATTTTGATCATCAAAAAATCTTCCCGGGATCATGTGAGGTTCAACACAAAATTTGGGCCCCATCAACTCAGCCGTTTTGTCGTTTATTGGAAACAAACAATCAAACAAACACCCACCTGCCCAAACAAATTATAGATATAGATATAAATATAGATAAATGTTTCTTAACATTTTCATTGTTACCTCCAAGGTAACATAGTACAGGGTTTAGCACAAAGCTAGATGTGCCTTATTACTCATTAATCAAAGTTGTAATAATGTTCCTAATTTTAAATTTACATAAGCTTATTACTTTACTAGTAATTTCTTCTTGTTCTTAATTTGCTTTATGTTCCTATTATTGACTATTATTACTAATTTATGTACAGAATGAACTTTCTGCACATATCTATTTTTCCTTTTTTGTGTTAATTACACAATCTGAATCCGGTTTTCGCCGTTAAACTTAGATTTTTAAAAAACACAAATCCTTAAAAACCTTTTGTATGTACAGAGAACCTAAACTCTTAATATATATCTTGTGTCATAACCCGAACATATAATAATATATGATTTAATACTTCTGAAAGAAGTCGGATCACATCTGCACAAATGAAGTATTTGAAATTTAAATTTCTAAAACCAACCATATGTAACAACGTTGTAATGACATAACACAATTTAAATTGTCCATGTATTATAATATAATGAAAACCATGTTATAACAATTGTGAACCATTTGCACTAAATATGCTAAAATAAATATTTTGTTTTAAAAAAAGGTTTTTTTCTCTTCACAACAGATCATTTAAAGTGAAACATTTTTAAATAAAATGTTGGAAAAATATTGCTCCACCTGTCAAACTTTTTAAATTCTATTTTAGGCTTCTTCACGGAGGGATTAAAGGACGAGGTTGGAGAAGATTTCTTAGGTTGAACAGGAGTAGATTCTTCTAATGGAATGCTTTCAATCCTAAAATAAAACATCTCAAAAACTTTTTTATTTACATTTCATGGACCTGAAGAGGTTATTTCAATCAACCCTCATTTAAGCGGGGTATACCAGATTCACAGCGGTACCCTTTAAACTTTTACATAAGTAAAAAAGATATCCTAAACATTTTCTTTCATTTCCTATTCTGCATAATTCCGTTGGTTAATTTTATTGAGAAACCAAATTTTATAATTATCAGTTCACCAGCATTGTGAATTTGGTTTACCCCGCTTAAATTGAGGGTCACTTGAAATTACGTCTACAGTCCCTTTGATGCTAAAATCACTAAACCAAGCCAATGAGTTAATATTCATCTTAAACTACCCTGAAACTACATGGTATTTCTCCCTATTTTCCTTAAACTACCTGATATTTCTCCCTATTTTCCTTAAACTACCTGATATTTCACCCTATTTTCCTAAAACTACCTGGTATTTCTCCCTATTTCCCTGAAACTATCAGGTATTTCTCCATACTTTCCTGAAACTAACTGGTATTTCTTCCTATTTTCCTGAAACTACCTGGTATTTCTCCCTATTTTACTGAAACTACCTGGTATTTCTCCCTTTTTCCCTGAAACTACCTGGTATTTCACCCTATTTTCCTGAAACTACCTGGTATTTCTCCCTATTTTCCTGAAACTACCTGGTATTTCTCCCTATTTTCCTGAAACTTCCTGGTATTTCTCCTTATTTTCCTCAAACTACTTGGTATTTCTCCCTATTTTCCTGAAACTACCTGGTTTTTCTACCTATTTTCCTGAAACTACCTGGTATTTCTCCCTATTTTCCTGAAACTACCTGGTATTTCTCCCTATTTTCCTGAAACTACCTGGTATTTCTCCCTATTTTCCTACTACTACCTGGTATTTCTCCCTATTTTACTACTACTACCTGGTATTTCACCCTATTTTCCTGAAACTATCTGGTATTTCTCCCTATTTTCCTGAAACTACCTGGTATTTCTCCCTATTTTCCTGAAACTACCTGGTATTTCTAACTATTTTCCTGAAACTACCTGGTATTTCTAACTATTTTCCTGAAACTACCTGGTATTTCTCCCTATTTTCCTGAACTACCTGGTATTTCTCCATAATTTCCTGAAACTGCCAGGTATTTCTCCCTATTTTCCTCAAACTACCTGGTAGTTCTCCCTGTCTTCCTGAAACTACCTGGTATTGCTCCCTCTATCTCTGCTGAATGAAGGTTTCGAGGATCTAGAATCTGAACGTTTTGGTTCAAACCCTCGTTCTCTAGTGGAACTAAGAAATAGATAAGATAAAAATATTGATAATGATACTAGATTAATTATAATAATAATAATAATAATAATAATACTAATAATAATAATAATGATAATAATAACAATAATAATAATAATAATGGTACTGATTAAAAAGGAGTACGATAAGAATATTAGAATTAATGACTACATATGTAGATAGATACCAATTGGTTGAAAAGTAGAACTGTTTAATATCAGGCCTTGGTGTGTACCTAACTTTCCTGCTGGAGAAGGACTGTCTCCGATCAGGTCTACTTGATCTTCGTTGTCCAAATTCTTGACGACCTTCTCTACTAGCCACATCATCCTCAACATCTTCAACCTCTACAGCATCGTCCACCTCCACATCTTCCTTTCTGGAGGTAGATCGCTGTCTGCTGATTCGGCTTCTAAATAGCATAATATGTCAGATAAGTCAGTCAAGTCGGTCAAGTCAGTCAAGTCTGTCAAGTCAGTCAGCTGTATATACCTGAAAGAAGTCAGTCAGCTGTATATACCTGAAAGTCCTTGGTCTGGGTGCTTCAGTATCATCGTTCTCTCCATAGATAAAGTATGGTTCAGAAGTTCCTCTCTTCTCTGCAAACTTGGAAGTTTTGGAAGTTTTTGTGGTCAACTGGCGTCCAGAACTTTTCCTAGCTTCCTCCTCCTTTCTTGCTTTCTCATATCTCGCCTTGAGTCGGTCCTAGGGTAAGATCAGTCATAGATTTTGATAAATTTTCTCTTAAAGAGTAAGTTGATGAAAATGAAAGAGGATATATTAAGTACTGAAAAGGGCAGAAATATTCGCAAACAAACCTTCAATGACGCATTGACTTTCTTTCTGTCTGATCCATTGAATCTTAAAGCAGTTGTGGATTGTTCACCTTCTTCTTCTTCCTCCTCCTCCTCCTCCAATATCTCTTCGATTTCATCCTCGAATGTCTCTTCCTGGCAACCCAACCCATCTTAATATGCTGTTTGACAAGTTTAACAAAAGGACATGAGACTATAATAAAGATTTGGGGAGATTACTTGGCTAACAAAGACCCTAAAGAAGTTGATGCTATATTTAACGTTGGTGCTTCCTATATCATAATTTGTACTTTTATTCATATATTTCTTTCTTTGTTTTAATCAGCATTCTTACTCTTTTCTAAATCCTTATTTTGATGATTTCTTTTTGCCTAATCTTTGTTTAGAGTTTTGACTAAAAATATTAACAAATATCATTATACAATTGATTTCAAGTAACCATTCATTTGCGGAGGGAAATGTCAGATTCTCAACAGCACCCTTAATACCTTATCATGTGAGGAACAATATGGTTTTTACATCATGGTTTTATTGTCTTGAAAAATCCGTAATTTACTTGATTTGAAAAATAACAAAACTTGAAAACTATCAATTTTGAGATAAAAACATCAACATTTCTTCATAATTTTGAGATAGAAACATCAACATTTCTTAATAAAGCTAAAACTGGCTTATTTCTGTGCTTAATCATGTAGGGAACCATTAAAATACAAAATTAAAAGCAAAACCAAAATAATAATTCTTGAAATCGTCAATTTTAAGAAGTTTGGGTCGTCTTTACAGTCTCATCTTTAGGTAGTTATCCTGTACAGTAAATGCAGCTTTATAGATGCATGCAGTTTTTAACCATTAGCGGAATTGTCATACTATATTTATGATTGATTCAGATTAACATGCAAATTAACAAAGGAACTATTAAAGGGTTGTCTCAGAAGAAACTATGATGGAGAAATCTATTTTTTTTTTACTTCAGAATTGTAAATTACATACGAGGCAGAAATTAACTATCGTATTTCGACAAGCCAGAAAATGAACAAGATATATGTTTCATCCAGATTTGAAAAATACCAATCTCTGTAGGCGATCATTTATAAATTTTTAAGGAAAAAATCACCATTTATCTTTTCAGATCCAAAGAAAAATACTTCGTGGTTAATGATACTTCAGTAAAAAAAACTGTATGACTAAAAGAATATAAATATTTGAAGTTCAGATCTCAGATTGAAATCCCGAAGTTTCTGATAAAATTGCATGGTCGGTAGCCAGTTTACTTTACTATATTTTTAAATTCATGGCAATCTTACAGAATAGCTTATGACAATTGAAATCCATTATTTCCTGTCTGGAACTTCCTGTTATACATGCATGAAATGTATGCCTAGGATGGCAACTAAGATTACATTATGGTGTTATTGAATATATTTGACGATCAGGAGCTCAGGAAATTGATTTCCGGAGTTTTATGTCAAAGGTTGATTTGATGGGTTGATTATACATGTTACGAGAAGACACATGAGGAGGGGGGGGGGGTAACCCTGTAATTATCTTCAGTCTTCTATATTGAATAGACCCCACTGTTCGGTTACTAATGATTGAAGATGAGTCCCTTTTGGAGAACAGATGAGGGTTTAATCTCCTTCTCTCCCTGTTCTAATAATCCAGTCGTCTAAACAAATGCTTCAAATGAAGACGATTAAATTGTAAAAATATGTATTGCGGCAAGTGAGAATTGTGCAAAGAAAAAATGACGGAAAAATTCTTAATTCTAACAATGTGAACGTAATCAACTGTTAGATTTTTCAGCCTTACATGTTCAGTGTTCACATATCATGATACAATTTAGCTTTTTAATAAAAAATAAAATTAAAGTGCACATAGTTAAGGGGAAAAAAATATTAGAAACGTAATAATTATTTCAATGTCGTAAAACTAAATAAAAATCTTGAATTTAGAATTTTTCAAATTGGGGTGAAACAAAGTATGTAGCAGTAAATAATTTGTTATCATGAAACAAAATTTAAATAAAAAAGGTTAAAATATTATAATATATCTATATAAATATTATAATCATAATAATATTGAAATTGAAGTACCTCAATGATAGAAGACGGTAAGTCATCTTCTTGGTTGGATGCAGAATTAGCTGGATCTGGAACAAGAATCAATTATTAATCAATCAATCAATTCTTAGTTCTTAGCCTATAAGATATCATTTATCTAGGGGCGCTACTTGCGTATTTTTTGAGGGGGGGAGGAAGAATTTTCTTTGCATGATTGAATTTCAAAATTTTTCAAAGCTCAACTTTTTTATAATTAAATCTTGCAATTTGAAATCTTTATGAAATCACTGTGTTCATGCCCTGGAAATTTCCTTAATTTCCATCCCATAAAGCCCCCCCCCCCTAGTTGCACCCCAACAATTATATTTGATTGCCACTGCCGTAATACAAAAAATTCAATAAACTGCAAGTGCATCATTAAAAATAATGAGATGCAGAGAAGTTTGTTTACTGACCTCCTTGTGGTGTGAAAAGCATGACCGTATTTCCAATGGTTGTGATGTAATCTCCGAAACCGAAAACAGTTTGTGTAGTCAGCTGTTCATTAGTCAGCTGATCATCAGCTACATTAATGGCGTCCGGAGTTCCAGAAGAGAGTGAAACTGAAAAAATCAAGGATAAAAAATATCACAGCTCATTAACTCAAATTATAATACTTTAACAAAACTCTTTCTGAAATCACAGGTAGCAAAAGTGTTCACTTTCAAAGATGTAAAATGAAGGTTTAATGTCAATTGTCTGAAACCTGTGTCGATTGTCAGTCATTATTTTCGTAAAAACAAAATGTACTTGGGGGATTTTTTGAAAAGTTTTATGGGGTTTACTTAAGTCATCTAACGAAAATACAGACAGTTCAAAGTAATCTAAAATATTCTAAAATTATCTGCATTATTTTCGAACAAAATATTTTTTAAAAATCTGCTTGTATTAGGGTGGGGGCCCGGGGGGGGGGCAAGGACCAAATAAAATTGTATATTCCATAATACACGCTAAGAATGTGCATGGGAATCCTAGAAATGCGGAAATATTTTAAGAATTTATTTTATTATATTTTGATGTTTGAGATGTAAGAGGTATTCCTTTTGATAAATTATGATATAAATTATAGGACGTAAAACATATCGTAAAATGATTGATTGAATGATTTTGGGACAAGGGCTCAATTACGCCTAATTAAGAAATATATGCAATTAGTTGTAATGGTGGTTAAAATATGCAAAACAAACACTAATGTGTGCATAAAAAATGCATTAATTTAAGAGACAAGACATTGAAAGAAATGGGGGAGGGGGGATGAAAGGGTCTTAATTTGTATTAAGTTAATTTAGAAAATGTTGACTTGGCGTTACTCAATTTAACTATAGCCATAAGATGTCAAAATTTCAACTCGTCGTAGACAAGACATGTCTACAATAAATACAGCTGCATACAATAAATACGTTCATGCCTGCCATATCAACTATCATCAAATGTCAACAAAATCTGCCTGTGTTCTAATAATCATCAAACCTGCATGTAAACCTATCTGCTACTAATTATGAAATCTTCCTGTCTATCTGCTATTTATCATCAAGTTTGTACTGTGTGTCTAATTTTAAAAATAAAATATGCATGTCAACCTGTCTATTATTCCTAATCATCAAATCTGCATGTCTGCATGCCTGCAATTACTCTTCAAATCGGCCTGTCTGTCTGCTATTAACCATAAAATGTTCATATCCACCTGTCTGCAATTTAGCATCAAATCTGATTGTCTGCTTGTGTGCAATAAGTCATTAAAGCTGCGTGTCTGCAATTAATCACCAAATCTGCATGTCTGCCTGTCTGGATTAAACATCAAATCTGCATGTCTGCCTGTCTGTAGTTAGTCATCAAATCTGCATGCCTGCAATTAATCACCAAATGTTTATGTCTGCCTGCCTGCATTAATTATCAAATGTTCATGTCTGCCTCTCTGCAATAAATCCTCAAATCTACATGTCTGCCTGCCTGCATTTATTATCAAATGTTCATGTCTGCCTTCCTGTATTAATTATCAAATGTTCATGTCTGGCTGTCTGCAATTAATTACCAAATGTTCATGTCTGGCTGTCTGCAATTAATCCTCAAATCTGCATGTCTGCCTGTCTGTTATTGTAAAGATTCCAAGGAAAAGTGCACTATCATCATCATCAGATGCACTTTGACAAAACGAACATCATAAACATCTATTTATATCTATATACATAGTTTACACTACAGGGAGAACCAGAAAACAACATGATAGCAATACTTCAGCGTTTTGATGTTGTTACAAAGCAAATAATTATATCTATATATAGTTTATACTACAGGGAGAACCAGAAAACAACATGATAGCAATACTTCAGGGTTTTGATGTTGTTACAAAGCAAATAATTATATATCAGATGTTGTTACAAAGCAAATATGTTTACTAGTAACTTAGCATTGCACTATTTAATCCTTTACTGTTTTCTTTTCTTCATTTTATTTTACGTTTTTTTTCTTTTCTATTCTTGTCCTGAAAATTCTCTTTACCTTCCCTTTGATGTTAGGAATTTTCCCAAGGGTATTTTCCCAAATGGCAACATCCCAGGGATGTTTTCCCAATTGGAAACTTGCATAATGTACAATTTTCCAAACGGAAACTACCCAAGTTTTTCCTAGCCGCAGCACTCGGCTCCACCCCAGCATGTTCTAGCCAACGCGCTCGGCCCCCTAGTCCATCCTAGCCGCAGCGCTCAGCCCCCATTGCAGCCTGCGGCGCATCAGATGGCCTAACCTAACCTTTGGAAAGTTGCCGCTTGGGAAATTGCACATTTGGGAAGTTGTCACTTGGGGAAGTCACCCTCGGGGAAATGCCCTTGCGAAAGTACCGAAGACCTTCCCTTTTTCTTCCTTTTCTATCCTTTTTTCTTCCGTTCACCTCCTTTTTCCTTAAGTTTCCTTTCAGTTCCTTTTTTTTCATTTCTGTTCCTTCCCCTTTTCTGTCCCATTTTGTTCTATTTTCCATCCCATTCCCATCCTTTTTCCTTTCCCATTTCCCTTATATATTTGAAGGTTTTCTTCCCCCCTACTCCTACTAATTGTCCAATCAAAGCTTGCGCGCAGTATATTTGTCTTTAGTACACGGGTTAGCGCTTTAACAATCTGGTTCTTTAATTTTACTATTCTGTTTTAAGCCCTTTTAAAACCTCCACTGTCATTTAGGAACACGGTTTTTGCGCGCAAAAACTAGTCAAAATACAACTACAAATACCAGAGGTTAAATGTTCGCGCGTATTTAAATGCATTGTATTTGAAGAAGAATTCTTAAGGTTTTTTTAAAAAACATTTTCTTACATTAAGATGCGGTTTAGTGTTGAAGTAAATATATTCAAATACTAGAATAAAAGTCATTTGACTAGCTGTTGGGTTAAAATATATTTTACTAAAGAAAACTTTTTTGTTTTTATTAACAGTGTAATACAGAAAAACCCAAATAACACAAAAAACAAACTTTTTGTTGTGAAATATAAAAAATAGAACAGTTTAAATTGTATTTAATTTGACTTCAGACAAAACTATTATCTGGATTGGGCATATTATAATATGGAATGATTACTTAAAACTCTTTATTAGAATGCAATATTTTTAAAATCTAATTATTGATTCCAGTTCATTTTTTGATCTACACATTATACAATAACGAATTTCGGATAAAAACAAATTTTTGTCGTTTATATCAAATATAATTTAGATTTCCTATAATTTTCTTTAATCTAACTATCTCTTCTTGATTCAAATTCCGATTTCCTTAAAAGGTATAATTGATCTGAGAAAAACTATAAACTAAGCTCCATCCATCATCAGGATGGATGGGGGTTCAAAACCTCAAACAGTTTTAATTTATGTCAAGAAGGTTTATTAGCTCGGTAGACGAGTTCAAGCCCTAAATTGACCTTAAGTCCCCCCTCCCCTCCACCCCACTATTAGTCCGACAAATTTGTTGTTATTTAGATTAAAAGAACAGCATGCAGTTGGAAAACAGCATGCCAGAGAAAGATTGCATGCAGAAGAGAAAAGTATTCTTTAAAAAGTTGAAAATTAATCATTTACAATCTTAGATTAATGAAACACGAAATATTTCGTTTAAGAAAATGCGGGAATTTTGGTGTCGTGCATTTCTAAACACTGAGTTTTAGCAACAAACTCTGATTTCTATTCTTTATATCCTTAAAACCCAATGTCGTAGACCTTTGATATTTGAAATATCAAAGGTTGAAACCATCAGATTGAAATAAATTAGGGATTAGAAAATTTGAGTTTGTGACAAAGATTCAATTCTTTTAAGATATAAACAAAAAGTTCAAATTGTTGCTGCTGATTACTAACATAGATTAAGTTTTCTGAACTTAAATTCAGTTTACTTTATCAAAACTTCACTAGTTAGTAGACTATCTACTATCTAGAACTTGGATCTGAACTTAAGTTCCAACTGCATATACTAAAGTCCTTAAGTTTTAAAATTAAATCTTAGTCTCAAGTTACAAAACTAGCAGCAACAAAAATATAGCACTTAATTTTCGACTTTTTAAAACTTTAGTTAAAAGCATTGTTAAACCTTACCAGCAGCTGTTGTTAGTGTTAGTAAGGAGGTGGAAGGAGGGTTTAAGGAAGAAGGTCTGGAGGAGAGGGAGGACGGAAGATTAGAGGATGAGGATGAGGATGAGGTTGAGGAGGAGGTTGAGGATGAGGATGAGGAGGATGGGGTAATAAAGGAGACGAAGGATGAAGTGGAAGATACTACCGAAGAAGGTGATGTAATTACGGAAGATGATTGGGAAGGTTTAGAAGAAGTTAATGAGATTGAAGATAAGACTGTTGTGGAGGATGAGGAGAAGGATGAGGTTGCGGAAACGGAGGATGAAGAGGATGTTAATCTGCTCGTAGATGCTGTAGACTCTACAGACAAAGCTTCTGAAAACTCTGAATAATCTTCAGATGAATCCAAAATGGAATCTGAGAAACGAAATGTTGGAAGTTGGGAGAGGAAAACAGGATTTGATCGCGTTGTCTTTATCAAAGGCAAAGCTTCTTTGACTTCCGTGGATTTGATTGGCTCTGCAGAGATTTTGTTTGGAAGGATAATGTTAATTGATGTAAAACTAGAACCAGCAGTTTCTACGGGGTTAGTAATAGAAGAAGCAATGAATACTGGTGCAACAGATATAGACTCAGATGGAAGTTTAGCAGGATAGATTACTTGTACATCATCACTGTAAACTCCTGCAATAAAGCTGGATTTTACCAAACCAAATAATTCTGAACTAGGTGAATGATCCATGATTTTTATAGTAAAATCTTGAGGAAAAACTGGATTCAACCAAACCAAATCAGTTATCTGATCAATCTGATTAATGATCTTGATTGTTAAAGCCTGAAATTAATAATTCTAGACTAAACATGCACAAATCAATAAACTTGATGGCAAAAGCCTAAAGCAGCGGAGTATCACCAAATCAAATGATTTTAGAATGTACAATTAATAATAATATTGATGGTAGAAGCCTTAAATAAAGCTTGATTTTTACCAAACCAAATAATTCTAGAATTAACACACTTATCAATGATCTTGATGGTATAATCCTGAAAAAAGGTGAACTTTACCAAACCAAATAATTCTAGAATTTACACACTTATCAATGATCTTGCTGGTAAAATTCTGAAAAAGATGAGCTTTACCAAACCAAATAATTCTAGAATTTACACACTTATCAATGATCTTG